GCGCCACTCGGCCGGCACTGTGTTATCTTCTTTATATCATGAATCACTCAGAATGACCTTGCTTCTGCCTTCCAGCGAGCCATTTGTCAGGAAGAAATTCTTGGCTTGAGTGTTCTCACGAGGGAATTGGGAGGTACCCACAGCTTATGTTTCTGTGCAGGGACTGATCTCCCACGAGCACCAGCACTTTGCTTGCTTGGGTGGAGGGGGCTGTGGATGGCCATAGATGATTCTTCTGGAAGAGTAAGTAATGGGCTTATTTACTGATCTTTTTGCAGCAGCTTGCCTGGTTTTGGACTGGTAAGTTGGTTTGTGTGTGCACTGCCCATACTCAAATATACACACATACTGACTCGTATATCCACACTCATGCCTATTGGACACTTGCACAAACATGCATAGGCTTATTCACATCTCTGCAAGTGTGAGTTCACACATGAGCAACACGAGCATATATGTGTGCACACACAAACACATGTATATGTACACGAGGCCCTGGCATTCTTTCAACAATAAGGTGGTATCTTGGGTGCTTGTGCATGTGGGATACGGGGTGGTGATTATGCAGGTAGGGTGCTGGCTGAGTGGGGATAGGTTCTGTTCTGGAACCATTGATTCTTCCTCGGGGATTTTTGGGCTTCTGCTCCGAGCTTCCAAACCTCTTAGGAAGCTTCTGCAGCAGTTTGGGTGGAGAGTTGATCCAGTTGATTCTTCCCTTCTGCCTGGGGCTGAGGAAAATGCTCTCTTGGGACTGCTGTGTGCTCCTTCCTTCTTCTCTCTCAATATTCAGCCCCCTCCCCCTTCCAGGCCCAGGGTGGGGCAAATCTGGTCCAGAAGGCTTTGTTGTGGTTGGGGACATGCCCAGTCCCATGGCCAGCAGGCAGCTAGGGACTCAGGGCTTGCTGCTCAGAGCGGGACTTGGCAGCGCCTCAGGGGCTGGGGGTGGGCTGGTGAGGCTGGACACTGTGGTCTGGATGCATCTGTGGCTTGTCCACGAGACACCTCCAAGCCCCCAGTCCTCTACTTCTGGGGCCTACCAGCGGAACCTCAAGGCTATCTGTTGGAGCCAGAAGGCCAGTGATTGCTGGTTCTCCTGGGGACATCTCTGCCCTGGGCTTTTCTGCTTGATTTAACAAGAACACCTGCTGTTGCATGGTGTATACAAATGAATGAATGGTGATGTGCTAGGCACTGCGCTGGGGACCAGAGATAGTTCAGAAATGGAGTTTTGTCCTCCAGGAGCTCAGTCTAGAGCAGCGGTTCTCAACCTTCCTAATGCCGCGACCCCTTAATACAGATCCTTATGTTGTGGTGACCCCCAGCCATAAAATTATTTTCGTTGCTACTCTATAACTGTAATTTTGCTACTGTTATGAATCGTCATGTAAATGTCTTTTTGTTTTCTGATGGTCTGAGGTGACCCCTGTGAAAGGGTTGTTCGACTCCCAAAGGGGTCGCGACCCACAGGTTGAGAAACGCTGGTCTAGAGAGACAGACAGCTACGTACTCCAGCATCTGCTGGACAGTGAGGGACAGGGAGTAGTGTATATGTGTGTGTGTATATATGTGCATGCATGTAGGTGTGCATGTTTGTGTGCATGCATGTGTTAGTGCACATGTGCACCCCTACCTTAGTCCTGGCTGCAAGGGGGCATTATCCTGGAGTGCAGCATCCTCAGGATGGCAAGTAATCAGTTGGCGAATCTGACAGGAGGTGGGGTATGGTGAGAGGAGGAGGAAAGGGAATAGTGCCCACGGATGGAGCCTATGATGTGGCACCCTACCCTGGGCATCACATGCCCCGGCTTCTTGCCTCCTCACCTATGCGTGGAAGGAGGACAGGCCATCTTATGGATGAGGAGGTTGGGGATACAAGAGCTTATGCCACTTTTCCCAGGCTACAGAGTCAGTAAGCTGTGAGCCAATTGGAGCCTAGGTTAAAGGCTGGACTCTGAGGGTCAGATCTGCTTCCCAAGGCCACTCCAGGACATTCTTTTTCTTCTCCTCCTTGCACACCTCGGGCAGGGCAGGAAGAGGCCTGGAGCCGAGGGCAAGTCTTTCTGGGCCTCAGTTTCCACAGCCACTAAAATAGGGATAATAAAAGTACTTACCTCATAAAATCATCCAGGAGAAGCACTTGAGGCCCAGGTGCTGGAGACCTGGTAAGAGTACCACAAATGACAGCCATTCTGCTTGTCTATTTATTCTTAGGGCTCACTTAGGGCTCTAGGGGCCTGAGTGCCATGCTCACAGCCCATCTCCCTCTGGCCTGACGTTGTACAAAGGTGAGACCTGAGCTGCCTTCATCATGGGAGACCTGGGCTCCACCCAAACCCGCTCCAGCCCTGAATGGCGGGGAGGTAGGTAGTGACAGGTGAGGAATAAGGATTTCTGAGTGTGGAGCAGAGAGAGGAAGTGACTCACCAACCGCAACAAAGCCCTTTCTCCCGGAGAGGAAGCAGGGGTAGAGTGTGAACGCACGTGGATGCCCACGGGGGCATGAGAGGCAAGGGGGGCGTGAGAGGCAAGGGAGGGCGTGGGCTGCTGGGGCGTCAGGGTGGGCCTGGCTGGGCTGCAGCGCAGTGTCAGCCTCCCGCAGCTTGGGAGGCGGGGGCAGGTTCCCCTGGGGGAGGGGAGGGGACGGGGATTGTATGTGTGTTACAGACTGGAGTGGGGTGGGGACAGAGGGACCCCTTCCCTTTCCGAAGTTTCTTCCCTTCTCTTCCCTTTTCTCTTGCGGGGGCTGAGGGGTGTGTTTCCCTGGGTGTCCAGGTCTTGGGAGAAACCCACGATTGAGCGGACAGTGCTCTGTAAGGGCTCTCCCGCTGAAACCTGGGGTAGCTGAGGCCCAGAGAAGGCAATCACCTAGCTCAGGTTGCACAGCACGGTGAGGCTTTTTCTGGCGCCCCAATGTTCGACTCGGTCCCGCCGAGGCTCGGCCTGGCTTTAACAAGCAGAGAGGGGCGAGGGAATTCCAGGCACGCCGATCTTCCAGGGAACTGGAGTCTGGGAAGAGGTGTTGCCGAGAGGATTTACTTTTTTCTGCAGCTGGGGAGGCTGGAGGTAGGGTTTGGGCATCTTCCAGAAAGAATCGACCTAAAGACAAGGGAAGAGGAACTGGCTTCCCAGGCCGTCTCCCCCGCCCCAAACTTTTCCTCCCGGTGGAGGGTGGGCGGGCGGAAGGAGGCAGCCGGGCCGGGAGAGGTGGGGCCAGCCTTTCCCTCCCCGCTGGAGAGCCGCAGCTCAGGATGCTTAACTCCACGCTGCTAGGGTGAGTGTATCTTTAAATCCGAGCCCCCCGCCCCTTCGGTGGTTGGGGCTGGGGCTCGGCTGGCGGGTGGCGGGAGCAGTGATTGGCGGCCCAGTCGGGTCCGCCCCTCGGCGTTGGGGGCGCGGGACGCCGAGACCCCGAGCAGCGCGCTGGGGTTGGGGCGCGCGGCTTCCACCGCCGGCGGGCGCGGGCTTCTGTTCTGGTGGCCTCGCTTGATCGGGCCCGGCCTGCTCGCCTTCGGAGCCCCGTCTGCTCACGGATGGGCTGGGGAAGTTGGGAGGAGCGAGCCGCAGCCCGCGTGGGGTGCGCCCAGCCGCTGCCTGATTTGGCGCCCGCAGTACGGGCGCAGCGCGCCGGCCGCAGAAGCGCGGATGTCCCCCGGAGCCACGGGTTGGCAGGTACCAATGCGTCCAGATTTGGGGCTGGCGAGGGAAGGGCAGATCTGGGAGTTCTCTGCCACCCACCTCCCCAGCTTGGGCTGCTCCGACCACCCACTCCCCATCCCCCGGACACTGCCCACTCCCATCCCCTGGAGCGCACTCCTCCCTGGGCTCCCTGGAGAGGAGAGGTTCTGGGCCTCCATTCAAACCTGCACGGGATCGGTGCCTGGGAGAGAAGCAGGACATCAAGTACTAAACAGTGAGCAGTTATTGGGTCCTCTGTCGCCCTCTGGGCTCCCCGCTCCCCCGAGGTTTCCCTTGCACTGAGGTAGAAGTGGACTGGTGGCGCCTGAGCGCGGCTTCATGCGCAGTTGGCAAAAGGGAAGCTGTCTCGTGATCACACGTGGCTACCCTGGGCTCATCTTGAGGGGGCTTGAGGCCCATGGACAGGGAGGAGGCCAGAGGTCCCAGTGGGCACAAGCTTTGATTCTGGGCCCCTCTGGCCCGCTTCCTCTAAGCCTGGGTCTCCCAGGAGAGCACCCTTTTCATCTTCAGAGGTTTTTCCTGAAGAAGCAGTGACCTGTCAGAAAGCAGAGTGCGGTGTGTGGGATACCTGCTGCACCCAGCTCTTTAAAGTGGCCAGGATGGTTGGAACATGTTCTTATAGCCTGAGGAGTCAGAGATGGAAGAAAGCTGACTTCAGGAAGCTTCTGGGATTCTTTCCATTCCCAACCGGAGGTCCAGGCACCAACTCCTTGGCTTTTATGCAGAGCCACTAGACCGGGTGACTGAGTGCCTCTTAAATGCTAGGCACTGGGCCCTGCCTGGGAGGGTGGTAATGGTGGGAGGAGTTGGAGGATTCTGTCCTCTGGTGGCTCAGCCCCATTAGAACACTGACAGAAACACACAGAAAGTTTGCTCATACGGGGCTTCCATACCAGCCCTGGACTAGTAATAATAGTGGAAACCCAAGAGGCTACACATGATTAATTGCTAACTGAGTGACATAGGCTGTGATGGGGGAGGGGATCTGGGATTCCGTTCTCATGCATGCAATCATGCAAATATGTTTAAAATGTTCTGGCTCTATACCCATCCTTCCTAATTACCCTGCTAGTAATGAGGACCTCTCACCACCTCCAGGGACAGGGAGCAGCAGGAGGGCTCAGGAAATTTTCCTGCATGTATGTGACCCCAGCCCCACTCCCAACTGCTTTTTTTTTCCTCTTTCTTTTCCTGCGGGTAGATTCTGAAGAAACCCATTTAGTTTCTGGGGTCAGACTCTCCCAGCTGCCCTAGGGCTTCTGAGGTTTGGGGTCTAGATCCAGCCTTATAGGAGGTTCAGAGGCCAGCAGGGAGGAAGTTCTCACTTCCTTTCTGAAGAGCCTCTAATGGCTGGGGGCTGGGGATGAGGTTGGGAGGCTGAAGGCCTTAAACCAGACACTGTTTCCTGTGAGAGCAGACAGACGCTGTCCTGTGCCATGGCCATTGATGTTGTAGTTGGGGTGTTGGAGGTGGGTGGGCTGGGTAGGGCTGGCTTGAGGTGGGTGGTACCTGGGGCAGCACTGACCTCACTTCTGAGGTTCTGCTGTGTCTGGGGCTCTGCCTCCTCCCCCATCATCCCTGGCAGATTTCTGCTTTTCTGGAACACTTTGCGGAGGTGGCAGTGTACTTAGGCCCATAGCCTTGGGCGCTGTTCTGGGAGTAGGAGTTGCTGAGCTCAGCCCACAGCCCTTGGCCCCCACTGTGAGCACTTGGGTGAACCCCCTCCCCTCCACTTTCAAACAGGTGGTATGCACAGGGTCAACCTGGCACAGGTGGAGGTTGCTGGTATGAGCCGAGACATATGCATACTCAGGTTTACAGTGTGTGGGCAGAGACAGGAACTGGATAGAGACATGATGAAGACACAAGACAATGGAGGTGGGCAAGACGCGTGCAGGGGCAGACATTGTGAACGCGGAAATGTGGACCACAGGCACTATATAGACAGATCTGCGCCTTCATAGGGATTTGAACCTTCCCATATGGGAGGCAGATGTGTACATGAGCTGACATATGTGCTACAGACATGGATGTGAGCTGACACTCACAGGCACGAGACGTGGAGCCACACGGAAGTGGCTCGAGTACCTGGGCAGACATGGAGTTGGCTGTGGGCTCCCCGAGGACACAGACACATATACCTACCTGCTGAGCCACCTGACAGCAGAGGCCAGGACACTGACAGAGGTGGGTACCGGGATGTAGTCTGAGGTGAGCACCGCTCCATTATCTTCGTGACTCCATATGGCAGCAGTGCTGGAAGTGGTCCTGTTTGGGGTGATGGTGCAGGTGCTCTGTGCTGTAGCTCCTTTTCTAGACCAACCTGAAAGGCTCAGAATTCTCTGTTTTACTCTGAGAGTTGTTTGACTGCCCCACTCCCTAGTTACAGGGCTGGGTGCGTGCTGTAAGTGCCAGCAGGGGCTCCTTGGACCTTTGAGTCTCACCTTCCCAGAGTTACCAGAGGTTTCCTGAAGTGAGTGAGTGGCCTGGGTAGGGGAGGCATCTGGCTGGGGGCTCTCCTGCGCTCAGGCCTGAGGGTCTCTGGCAGGGACGGGATCATCCCTGGGGGAGAGGAAACGTAGCCGTGCTGTGGGGTCTTTGATGAGACCATTGCTCTGGTGTGGACTGCGCCTCCCCCAAACCCTGGGCTTGGGCAGGGAAGGGGCCTCCTACCTTCTGGCTAGAGTCACCTCTCTTCTGCCGAACCTGGAGACTGGGAGCCAGCCCAGAGTCTAGATATGGCTTGATACCAACTCACTGATGACCCTGGGCAAGTTACTTAATGTCATAACTAATTCGCTTAAAATGAAACTCCTTATCTTTAAAATGGGGCCAGTCATCCCTAGCCCTTGGGGATGTTGTGAGGGTTAAATGGCAGATAATCTGTGGAAAGCACGGGGCTCGGGGTCTGGCACAGAGTGAGCGCTCAGTCAGTGGAGCTCTGATTGGAGCCTGTGGCCAGTACTCTTCAGAGCCGCTCCAGCGGCCAGGTGCCTGGTTCTGGGAAGGCTGGCAGACAGGCACCTCTCCTTTGAAAGCGGGAGGGCTTTGTCCTCAGTCCTGCCCACCAGCCACTTCTGAGCCCTGTGAGACCTCCGTGCAGGGTCAGGAAATGGCACGCAGGGCAAATGGAAGCTTGGGCCTGCTGCCTGCTGGGCCTCTGGGAGGGGAGCCAGTGGTTTGCTAAGAATAGCCCCAAATCATGGCTCTGCCTCTCAGTGGGCAGCGTGCACCTCCCTGCTCCAGAGCCAAGGCTCTTGCAGATGGGACTTCTGTTTTTTCTGTAACTGGTAGGGATGGGCCTGGGAGCAGCAGCAGGCTGGGGCTGGGAGAAGGCGCTGCTCTTTCTAGGTCTTTGGCTGGGACCCGGGGAAGAGAAGTTGCCTCTTCCACTCAGAGCTTGTCTTGACAGTGCCCCTCCACCCCCATCGTCTTCCTAGCCCCCCAGTGGATGGGTACTGATTAAGAACACTGGCTCTGGAACTACACCACTAGGGTCTGAATTTTTGTTCCCTCTCTCACTAGCTGTGTGCCCCTGGGCAACTCACTTAACTTTTCTGTGCCTGATTCCATTGTGTAGCTGGGTTAATGATAGTCCCTTACAAGGATGTCTCAAGGATGAAAGGAGGTAGTACATGGAGAGCCTTGTGGTAGCTTGTGGCTCAGAGTAAGTGCTCAGTCAACTTTAGGTGCTGCTACTGCCGTTCTCTCAGCAGAGGGAGAGACCTGTGAGGCCAGAGAGGCCAGGGTGCTTGCACAGTGCCTCATGGTGGGAAGGTAGTAGGATGCCTTTGATTCGGGTTTCCAGCCCGAGGTTCAGTATGAGGTGGAGGGGACCAGATGTGAGTGAGACTGGGCCCCTGCCAGGTGGGAGAGGCACATATGTACATTATACCATATCCCACCTGTACCTTTCCAGGGTCTGTGCTGGCTGTGGTTGGAGATGGAGAGAGGAAATGGCTTGCGGGAGGTAGGGGGGTGGGGGTGGGGGGGTTGATGCTTCAGGTGGGTTTTGAAAGATAGCTAAGACTTTGCAAGGGTGAGCGAAGGCTTCCCAAGCAGAAAGAACAGCCCGTGCAAAGATGTGACAGCTTGGTGTGTTTAGGGGACATGCGCAGATACATGGACCTGGGAAGGGGTCCCACCCTCAGCACTCCGGGCCTATTTGGAAAGACCCTATGTGCTGGGGACCTTCTGTCCCTCCCAGTCTGGGCTCTGATTCAGCCCTGATTTCCCTGTTAGGATACAAGTGGGAGGCCCACTGGAATTCCTGGTCTCTTACTTTTCTTTTAGGAATCACATACTCTATTCCCCCATTCTCCAGAGATCCCCCCTCTCTCCTGCTCTCTTATAAATGACTGCCAGCCCAACCTGGGGCCCCTCATTTTTTGAGCTGGGGCTCTAGACTTCTCCTGCCCCAAGATCAACATGCTTATTTTTGCTCTTAGGACACCCATGGGTTATAGATTCTCCTTCCCTTCCTTTCAACGAACTGAAGTCTTTGAAAACACCTAAGCCTTTACTAAGGAGTGACAATCTCTAACAGTGGAGTTCCTGGACCTAAGAAATGGTTTTATACATTTCCTGTAACTGACATGTGGACTGGTCCTAGCTGCCAGGAGCGCCCCTGTTTGGGCTGGGGTGCTCTATGAGAGAGACTTGGGGCATCTGGGGCTACATACATGCCTGTGGCAGGCAGTGGGGAGCATCTGGGAACTGGGTGTGTCCCTGGTGACCCTTTAGGCTCCCTGGGAGCTAGGGCTTTCGGAAATTCCAGGAGGAGGGAGGGTGTGGTGCTGGGAGGGCTGTGGGTTCACTGTTGGGCTTCCCGCCCATGAGAAGCCCCAGCCCATGAGAAACAGGCTCAGAGGCTGTGTCAGGCCCTGCAGAGGGAGAGAGGTGGGTGCCCTCAGAGGACCTTGGAGCTGGCCAGCCTCTGCAGCCTGCTGAGCCCCAGGGCCTGCCTGTCTGCA